CACCGGTGCCAGATCGCTTCTGCCCGCGCGGCTGGTCAGGCTTGTCCGTCTCAGAAGAGCGGGAGCCAGACTGTCCCCCTTTCTTGTCAGAAAGGCCAGGGGGCTTGTCAGCAGCAGGAGGGGACCAGTGTCGTTGGAACAGGCGCCAGAAGAGTCAGCGGCCGTGGGCTTGACCCCTCCGAGTCCTTGTCCTTGACCTCCTCCTTCTCTTTCACAGGCTCAGGCTCCGCAGCAGCTGCCGGCGCATCAGAGGCAGATGGCGCAGCAGAGTCAGCGGGAGCCAGAGGCGTATTAGTGGATGCTGCCTTGTCCACCTGGGCTGTGTCAGCAGCCGCAGCAGGAGGCTCAGGCAGTTCTGCCTCAATCAATCTGCCTCCAGCCACAGACAGTGATTCCTCCTGCACAATGCGCAGGTCCAGCTCACTGAACACGCGGCACAGGAAGCCCGAAGGAACGCGCTTCAGGTCTGCAGCCACTTCCTTGACGACTTGCGTGAGGCCAGGATCAGTGTGATCCATGTTCGCCAGAGCACGCAGCGACATTGCTGAAGCAGTCAGGAGTGGCACTGCGAATGGGATCTGGGCCAGAGCAGACTATGGGGGGGCATGCACAAACGTGGCTTGCGCACAACCTGACAGTCAGAGCTCAAGAGAAGGCAGCAAGTCTCCTCCAGATCAGCCGCCAGTTCGAATCGGTCAGCAAGACCAACACGAGATCAGACAGTCAGCGCGACAGTCTGAGGCCCGGGCAATGGACTGGAAGCTTCTGCGGCCGTCCTGGACAGAGGGGCAGAAGCCTGCCAGTCACAAGGCAGCCAGCCAGGAAGACCTCGCCTCCAAGTCGACCACCTCAACCAGATCCGGCCTGCGCCGCAGACAGACCAGTGAAAAGCCTCGTGGAGGCATCAGGAGCATCAGCTGTTGCAGACGACTTACTCGGAGAAGCCATGGCTGCAGCTACAAGGAGGACCCCAAAACACAGAGCTCAGAACTCCTATGCTGCGCTGCAGCCAGAGAGGCTGCGTGAAGCACAGCATTTCCGTTGCGTCTAGGGCAGAAACACACTGGAATATAACTCCAAACCGCGTAAGCACACAACCTGACATCCCGCTGAGCACGGCAAGTAACGGAAGACAGATCAGGAGTCACGAAGTCCAAGCCCAGGCTGCCACAGCTTCAACGGTGCCTGTTGCGCCCAGTGTCATTCTTTCCGACCGCCAAGCAACCCCGAACCTGAACCTTAAACCTTAAACAACCCTAAACCATGAACCTTCGCCCAAGCAACCTTAGATCCAGAAACAAACCCATCCCGTAAACAGTGACCCCTCCCCAAACCCTAAACCCCTACAATCAAAACCCAACCCCTCAATCTGATCCATCCCTTATAAGCCCAAACCCAACACCTTCAACCCAAAAAATAAGCCCTAAACCTTAGACAGGCCCGAACCCTAAACCCCCAACCCCAGCCCCTTTGGCCCAGGGACATCCCCGACTTGTGGACTTGCGGGGCCCGTACTCCATTGGAGGCCAACCCTGGGAATCGCGTCCGCTGTTAGGTAGCCGAAGCCTCATGTGCACAGCCATGGCAGAAATCCACGTGGTATGGCGCGACCTAGCGCGTACAATGCAGCCTTGGATACCATCCAGTCGTTACCCAACATGGAGTTCAAGACATTTTTTTACTTCAACTGTCAATCCTCACAGGAAGGGCAATGTCGTGGTGTCATTCTAGATGTCCAGTTGCCTGCGTTGGGGCAATCTGCTGAGAGCCGCAGTGATATTTCTACAAGAGAAGCGATGTTCCATCACAGCGGCAAAGTCAACTTCCAGCCTGGTTTTAAAGTATTTGGCACGCTCAAAAGGCCATGTGACATATCCAGAGACTGCGAAAAGTGGAGTCGCTAGGATGTTGGGCGCCCGTCAGTTGCCTACGCAGATTCGGGCCTTGGAACTTTAAAGACCGGGAGTGTGTAGGTGTTAGGCAGCCCCGGGCCCACGGGGACGGACAACTCTCACCTCCTCGTCATCAGCAACCAAGTCTTCTAGAGAAACGTCTTCATCCGGGGCGAGGACAGCATACGTATCAGCTTGATGATGGCAAAGGACATTCTCACTCCACAACACTGGGCCCGGCACATTGCGTCGAATGAAAACCCTCTATGTCGCCTTCGCCCGATCAGTGCCAGTTGTTCATGCACCAAAGCCTGTCTTGAGGATGGACTGCTCTCGTTGCCCTCCGAACTAGGCATACTAGACGTGCCCCGCAAAGCCCTGAACAAAGGCGCCAAACAAGCAACCATTATGTTAAAACAGGCACTGATGACAAACAGTACGATCCAGAGCCAAGGGAAGTCGGCTTCTGGTAGCAGTCGCTCAGGGTAGTCCTCCTGACCCAAAGCCCGTCGACAGTCACACAGAGATAGAGAGCACTTAGTCGTCGCTTTCTCAACCATCAGCGGAATAGTGGATTGCAGCAGCTCTTCACGCGCCCGCCTACTCTCAACGACCCCTCCAACCAGATATCCGCCCACGAAACCGCTGATCTGAAACAGCAAGACAGACGGCACCGGCAGACGGCCCATAGCAGGGACTACCTCTAACTTTCAAGCTTGAGACATATTTTACAGGAGGCGGCTTCAATCAACTCCTCTGCTCAGTCAACACCGTTCAAGAACACCCATGCTCAGAGAGATGCATTCAGAGTTCGAACTTACCATGAAACGTGATGTATCTGTCATAATAACCTCGTGGACGCAACAGCGAAGCAAGCAAATCTCCAAAGGCCCAATTACACCGGCGAGCACATTCCTTGGCACTGCGTGAATAATTACAATCGCGTACTGCGAGGGGCTGAAAATATGTTTAAGCTGCAGTCTCGTATCCTGACGAGTGATGATGCGTGTCAAACAGGCCCTCAACTTCGTTCTGAGCAGCTCTTGCAGAATACATTGGAACCAGCACCCGTACACTTTCAAAATGAGATATTTCTGTTTGCCCCGACACATTTGGACGTTCAAGGATTACTGCAGTGCCCAGGTTTTTGGAGGTTCTCCATGGTTTCTTGCAAGGTGAGTGGGCTTCAGATCCTGCTGGATTTAGCTACCTCCGCTTTGCGCATGCCACTGGCTGGGTCACTCCGAGTAATGTAAGCGCATGGAAGCAAGAAAGACTGCCAGCTCAATGGCGGACCAGTGCGCCGAGCGCCTGGCTGCACGAGTCCGAATACGCAGCTTTGGCTTTCAGTCGTCCAACTTTTTCGAAGCAACTGACCATTTCCCTGCACGCATTGAAGACTGCGCTGGGACGAGTTGGCAGCCCTGTCACAATCCGAAACTGCAAGGCACTTCAGCATGTTGGCCACTCGCAACCTGTCATGGCTGGATCTGCTGTTCCCAATAAATGCATTCCTCTTGTGGATGATCTCCTTCAGAATTTGCTCAGTGTTTCTTTCAGCGCAGCGTGCCGTAGAAGAGTTGAACCACTTTGCCAGTCACGGGAAAGAGTGCCCACTTCAGCAGCTACCGCGGCAGGCTGTCTGGAGTTTTTACTTTAGGAATCGCCGACACAAGCATCGGTAATCGTTCATGTCCTACTTTTGGCTCTCGCAATTCATCGGTAATTGCTGCGCCCAGAGATCTTGTTCGCGGTGTCTCCATGACATCTTGCATAAACCCTGAACCCCCTATCTCCTACTACTGAACCCTACAAGCAGAAAAACAAACTCTAAGGTTTAAACCCATCAGGGGTGAAGAGCCCGAACCCCTAAACCCTACACAGCTAGTCGCCATAGACTCTAACCCTCAAATATCCCAAGCCATAAACCCCGACCCCCTGAACCCCACACCCAAAATCCGTACAGTCCACAACCCTAAGCCCCAAAAGTCAAGCCACAAACCTTGAACAAGCCCAAACCCTAAGCAACTGAACCCTCAAAAAAACATTAAACACTACACAAACCCGAAACCTAAACCTGTAAGAAACCCAAACACTACGCCCTAAAGAACATAGATGCCTAACCTAACCAAATAAAACCCTAAACACTAAAGCGAAACCCTAACCAGGGCAAAACTGTAAACACTCCCAAACCCTGTACGCTTATAATCTCAAAACCTAAGCCTTAAAGAAGCCCACAGCCTAAGCCTTAAACAGCTGAAGCTCTTTAACCCTACTAAAACTACTAAGCTGCCAAAAGCTTGCAAGCCCTATGCAATCCAAACCTGAAGCCCCCAAAAAAACCAGACAACCCCAAACTTGAGCCTTCAAAACCCTAAACCACAACCCTCATAAAGACCCAGAAGCAAACCCAACCCCTAAACATTGACTCCGCCAAACCCTAAACCCCCACAACCCCAAACCCTGCAACTTAAATCCGTTAAAACAAACCGAAAAACCTTCAACATGCCCAAGCCTAAACCCTAAACAGCTGAACCCGCAAAATCCTAAACCCTAAACACTTAAGAAATGCAAGCCCTAAGCCCTAATCCCTTTAGATATGAAGGGCCTGGACGCCTACGGCCTAAACAGCTGAAGACCCTACATCCCCAACCCTTATCCGCAAACAACCCTAAATCCAAAAACAACACCACACCCTAAACCCTAATCCTAAATCCGCAACCAAACCCTAAACTGTTCAAACCTCTAAGCCCTCAAGCCTAAACCGTGATCTGATTCGTGGCTAGGCCCAGGCGTCATCAGATTCGTGCCTCCTAGCGACCTCCGCTGCGGCTATGTCTGATCTGAGCTGCGAAGGCAGCTGATGTGAGCCGGTTTGTGTGATCAGATGCAACAATCCAGTTCGCCACGCTGATGTGTGCCTATTCGGATCTGATTCGCATAACTTGCACACGCAAAAGTGCGACCATGAGTGCCGCTGCGCACTCCGGGCTTTTCTGTGTTGGTTCGGCCAGCAATTTGGCAGCTACAAGCCTGGGTATGCGGTTGCGTTTACATGTCAACATACTGACATATAGTACGAAATCAAACCAAATGCCAAAGTTTGTCCTCCATTTCTTTCCGTGAAGCCTTGCTCACATCCACCATTTTGCAAATCAGCTTCTGTCCGTCCTTTCGATCAGCAAGCAGGGGCTTCCCTGAAAGATTTTAGCAAATCGCGCCTCTGAACGAACCAGCAGGGCCTTTCCAAAGGATCCTTCTCCGACCTGCAAAGAAGTCAGGGAGCTCGACCCGTAAAAAAATTAGTTGAACGACTTCTGACTGAACCTTCTTGATCTCAGCATAGCCTGATGATCAAGAGAATTATTCCGGCACGGGAACAAAATTTCGCTGAGGCGATCTCCATGTTTCCTGAGAAGCCCCGCAACGTTGCCGTGAGCGACCTAGGAACATTGGCTACCCAAGATGCCTGCGTAAAGGGCGAGTGCTGGATGCTAGCTAGGGTGACATGTCGCTACTCCGTTGTCAAATGTTGTCAAACTGATCACGGTGGTCGCAGATAATGACACATAGTGACGCAATCTGCAAGATTGAGACACATGCGGCCATATCACCGCGGGCCTTGCAACCGCTGTCATAGCGCATGCTTTGCAGGAAACACAGACACGTACGTCTCTCAGAAACTCCAGGCAGCGGACTACTTGCCAACCGGCGCACTATCCGCTGCACATTTCACAGAAACTAATTGCTTGGCTACCGCGAATGTCAATGACAGTAAGGGTCCGCATCATCGGCCACCATGAGCTGGTTCCATTAGGTAGGTGCACTTTCCATTGCGAACTGAGTCTACCTTAAGCCTATAATCAAAACATACTTAAACTACAACCAAAAAAGTCCGCTTGCTACATGTTGTGCCCTGCTCCATCGCGAGCTTGAGACGAAGCTGCTCGCACGTAGCTTGCTGCACCATTCAGACATGAAAACTCAACTTCCGGCATCCAGCGCACTAGCTCAATGCCATCCTTCTCGCAAGGCAACAGCTTCAACACTCAGTTAAGTAAAGCTGGCCACCGGAAGTCAGCGTACGGGTCATGACCCTATCTGTTTCGTTTGCAAGGCAAGGCTTCCAAGCACACTCGAAACATGCTTTGAACACAGGATAGACACTCATGGCCAAGCTGAGGAGCCGTTGCCATAAATTGCAATCATGATAATGCAGGCTCCATGTTGATTGGAGCAGGGCATGGTTGAGTGCTTTCCATTTCTCAAGGGTGAGAGGGCTTTCTTCCTAACGGCTGAGGTTGGTTCTGGCATTGAAAGATGTCTAAGTTCGAGATCTGGAGTGTTGGGCTCATGGTTTGCGGTTCACGGCTCAGGGTTTTCGCGGTGGGTTATACGTTTCGTCTGTTGTGCTTGGCATGTTTTGGGCAAAGAGGCTTTGGGGGATTCACAGAGGGAAAGTTAGGTCTACATCTCGGGGTGTCCGATACCCGCATCGAGGTTAGGGTTCGGGGCTTCAGAAGCTGGTGCATGCGGGCCTTTGGAAAAGAGTATTTAGCAACTCCGGGGACATCTTGTCGCCTGACAGTTGAGGCTTTGAGATATCTGGACCTGAATACGGTTTCACTGAGCGAGGCGCTTGCAAACCCGTGTCCAAGAAGTGTTGTCAAAGTTGAAATCTGATCTGATACGTGTGAAATCTAACAAGATCTTCTACTTCCTTCCCCAAATTTGCAACAAGCAACCTAGCCATCCGGGTTTCGATTCTGCCGCAGCTGTTGTGTAAGATTTCGGCCCAAACCCCAGGTGTCCTTATGTCCAATCCATGTCCAATCCATATTGTTCTGTGTTCCGGATTCGGATCCATGGGATTCCATGGGTGCTCAATCCGACTGTGGGGAAAGGGCTCCTTCTTGGAGCTTCTTGGAGCTTCTGTGTTGGTGGGAACGCCTCTGTCTCTAGCACTGGATGGTGTGTGGAATGATCTTGCACTTGCAACAAGAAGGTCAAGAAGCATGCTGGCTGAGTGATATTGATGTGACACCTGAACGAAAAGAGCACAAATTCTGACCAGAAAACAAAGCATTCTGTGACGCAAAGAGAAGTTCTGGCTCGATAGAACATGCTTTCTCCAACTGCGAGAGAGTTGGTGACCTTCTGGTGAAACATGGCCAAACGCCGTGCAACGCATTATTTGCTTGCCTTGGACAACAGCTTTGGCAGGCAACTGAGTTGAATCGCACCCTTTCTGGCACAGCTGAGCTAGCGCTGAGCTAGCTGCTAGGCGTTCCATGAACAGCTGCTCTCTGGCGGCCAGCTTGGCCTGCGTGATATCCAAAGGTTGTCATGCTTGCAGTACTGGAGCACTGCGTGGCCTCAAGCCGTGCTTCAGTCTCCCGTAGCTTCTCCTCATGGCCGGAAGTGGAAAGAAAAAGAAAAGCTGCTACGACTAAGATATGTGTGGCACCCCCTCCTCAACAACACGCTGAATTTCCTCTTCAGACAGCTCCTAGCAGAACACATGTATGCAGCATGCGTGATACTGAAGCGGCATACACAAAGCCTACCTCGCCAGCAGGTCCGGCCGGTTTCTCCTGGAACAAGTGGATCACAGCAGTCTTGTGCTCCGTCAACAGCAAACAGCAATTCCCATCATCCAGAATCTAGAAGCACTTTGTGGGTCCTCCATGCTGGCTGCCGTCCCTTCATTCTCCGGCGTGTGTTGTGGCCTACCAACTGCGTTCTGTGATATGAAGACACAAGTGATAGACCCTCTGCTGGAAGCACTAGAACCCCCTTGCCTTCTGCTAACTTTTTGTCTGGCAGTTCCCAGAGCAGGGGGTACGAGTGGCCTGCGCAGGCTTGCTACGGATGTTTCACTCCAGTTCTCATAATCTGCACGAAACAGATAGCAATCCTCTCCACTTCTACGCTGAAGCGCAGTGTCTCCACGTCTCTGTCGCAGCGAACGCAGAACTGATACAAGAGGAAGTGCCTCTGGAGGTGTCGCAGCAGAAATGAAGCATTGCGTCAGTCTTTGGGTGCGCACTTGAATAGTGTGGTAGCTGCATAGTCCGTGAGTCTTCGGGCCTCAGCACTAGTCACTAGTCACTTAGTACGTCCGCAGCACTGCCTCTTTTGATGCCTCACCGCCACCGAAGACTGCAAGGCCTCAAGCAAAAACTGATCGAAGCCTTGTACGCTTCGTAATGGATGGACACTGACACTTGGGGAGTGACGGCTGGGTGGATCGTTAGCTGAGTGCACTATCAGAAGCTCCTGAAACTTCTTGAAGCACCTGAGCATGCGACAACAAACAAGCGCCTGCACGTCAGCATGGTTTCAGACAAATTCTGTTATAATGTGACTATGTTTGTCTCGACTTGTCCTGTTCAAAAGTGCGAAACAAGAACGAGCAAGCTTCAGGAGGCACCTGAAAGATGATACGGCACGGCATCGAGGAAAACTTCTCATGCGTATGTCTGCTCACGGCAACTAGGAAATCGAAGTTGCTCAAGGACCAGATTTAACAGAAATTGCTGCGCATGCAGGCATGTGGGCAACACAGCACCAGCCTTTCGACAACTTGCTTGCACACAGAGTCTGCACAACATGGCAGACCCGCTCCTCTAGCGACTGGCAACCCACATGTTAACGGGCAACCCACATATTAACATGCTGTGAACAGGCCTAAACCCTCACGTGACTTTTGCAAAGTGCCTGTTGCTAGAGTGTGGAATGGGCTTTGACTGTAAGTGCCAACTGCTCTACAGATGCAAAAGTTTAATCCAGAATTATGACGGAACAAACGTAGCCAATGCTCACACCAGTAAGAAGAAGACTCCACAGCAGCTGAAGCCTGCACGGATGGTAGGAAGCGGAAGTATACAGGTGATTGAAGCCGTTCAAGCAGGCCTCGGGGACTCCTTGCCACCCGGCCATCATGTCCTGAACTTTTGAAATTTGCTTGCCTGCTTTGGCACTCTCAGTCTCTGCATCTCTCTGCAAGGTCAAACGTCCAGGATGCTGCTCATGATGGCATGGAATACGGCTCCTTGCCTGACAGGGTGCACGCTTCCTGGATTGACTCAAATGTTGCTTCCAAGCCTCTGCGTCAAGCACAGCATCTTTGCGTGGCTGAGGTTGAAAAGGTGGAAATCGCAAATGATTTCCCTGTTCCAGAGCAAGGCATGGTAGGCTGAAGCGGCTCAGCAATGTAAGCAGGCTAAGCACACACTGGGCAAGTTGGGCCAGGCCTCCGAGCTATGGTTGGGTGAGCATTCTCCAGTCCTGAAGGTGGCAGCCCGTCATTGACAAAGAAAATGGTAATTGCTGAGGTGCAGACCCAACAGTTCGGTCAGAGTTTTGGACTGCGCGGTGTAGTCTTGAAGTGCCCAGATACGCCCAACATCCTCAAGAAAAGATTATGCATTGGCACATGTAGATTCCAAGAATTCAAGCCAGCTTGCAAACAAAATGCACACAAGGGAAACAATGGCAAATGAGGGCAGCGCGTTCGGTCTGAGGGGTAGCTTAAGACCAGTCTCCAGCTCGGTCTCATCACCCTACCACATGTGCCAACCACATGTGCCTTGTTATGCCATGAAGACATCTGCCATTTTCCTATCTTCAAGATCCTTGAAGATCCTTGAGCCAACTCTTCGCACCTCGACCAACTCGGGCTCAGCGGGTTCCTCCTCCGCGGGCTCCTGGCCAGGGAAGCGAACTTGAAAGGAAAGGGCTCTGTCTGTTTGTTAGCATTTTGTTTTAGCGTTTAGATTTTGAGGATTCACCACTGCTTGGGACTTCCGCTCTGACCTCGACTGGAGGCTTCTTCGGTGCCATGATCCCAAAGGCGCCACACCCCACTTGGGCCCAAAGATCCACCAAATCCCATGCGGCTAAGCACTACCCAACTCAGACAAGGCATTGCATAGGCATCCTGCGTGAAATGCCCATCAGTGATGCTACAGTCTGAGGCTTTTTGGGTTTTTACAGCACGTCACAAGGTGTGCAGAAAGCACGCATGCCGGACCCAGTGCGGGACCCGCTGCTGCATGGAAACAAGCGTATACTCAAAGCAGAAGCGAAAGCTTCATCGCATCGAATGAAGATGTTCAACGAGAATTGTACTCCGCAGTGGAACAAGTCAGCGCTCAGGTTGCAGACGGCAAGGTTTTGCGGAAATCACGAAGCTTGGACACAAGCCTGTCCTGTCTGACAAGGCACCACAACCCACACACTTCCAGACTAGGCAAAGACGTACACAACAAATCTCACCCCCACGCAGCAAGGCTAACAAAAATTTCCCGAATCTTATCAAGTGAAGGAACCATGGCAGCCAAGTCCATTGAGCGGAGGGTGAGGCAGGTGCCATCTTGCACGACGCACTTGCCATCAATCCACACGTGGCTGACCTCTGAAGATAAAGGGTTCAGGATGGCTCACAATTCAAAACATCCGTCAAGTGGTATGAGTGCCAGACGTGGCGGCTATTGGTGTAGACCAGTTGACCCAGGGGATCGTAGATGGGGGCAGTCTGCAAGGCACAAGAAAGCACAAAAGCTCACAAGGGTAGTCAGCTTGAAGTGGGGCAAAGTGGGGCTTTGGGGCTTCGGCCTCCAAGCCGCCCAGGTGAACTGCCACAAGGTCTGCGGCTTTGCCAACCTGGGCCAGCGAATCAAAGTGGTCTTGACAGGTCTTTGACAGGTCTTTGTGATCTCCCGAGCTAAGGTTCGAACCTTGATGGATCCTGTCTTGGCTTCCAGTCCAAGAGCTCGGGCACCGCGGAGTGTCGCCATCTCCAAAACTTCCCGAGCTGATAACACCGTGGGATCTCCAGTCACTCCCTTTGCAATCATCGACGCATACTGCATCCTCAGTCAACCCAGCTCCGTTCCAGAAATATTCAGGCAATGCATGCAAGGGGACACAGACAGACCTCGTCAACCATCCCAAGCCCATCTTCAGTTCTAAAACGAGACGAGGACTCGTGCAGACAGACAGAGGCGTAAACAACACAAACATACAAGCAGCAAAGATACTCTGTCATCATGTCCAGAGTGTTGTTGGAGCTTGCACCATCGGTTCCAAGACAGACATTCACGCCTGACTTCAGCATGTCAGCTACGCGCGCAATGCCAGAACCCAACTTCAGGTTGCTTCTGGGGCAGTGCGCCACACTGGCGCCACTCTTAGCCATAAGCGCAATCTCCTCGTCTGTCATATAAACGCAGTGTGCCGCCACCGTGCGCTTATTGAGCATGCCAAGGCCATCCAGTATCTGAAGAGCAGACTTTCCCGTTTGCTCCAGCACGTCAGAAATTTCCTTCTTCGTTTCGTGCAGGTGTGTGTGAATGACCACATGCGCTTCCGCACATGCTGCGTTGTACGCCGCATTCACCTCTTGCAATTTTCCCTCTGGAACCATGTACACGGAATGGGGTAGCAAGGAAGGCCGTATAGCGACATCATTTGACGAGATAAGCTCGGAGCAGAATTTAACGTTCGATTCAACGAGCCCACTGAAACGTACGTCATCGCCGAAATACAAAAGCCCGGCTTGAGTGAGGACTGCTTTCATGCCGGCCTTCCGGGCAACCGAGGCCGTCACATCACCATGAAAATACATGTCATTGAAGAGCGTCGTCCCTGTCTTCAGCATCTCGTAACAGGCAAGCTCTGATCCCAACCGCACGAACTCCTCAGCTTCCTCTAGTGGGGCATCAAATACAAACCTGGCCTCTGTCGGGAAGATGTGTTGGAACAACCATTCGTTCAATGGCAGGTCATCTGCATATCCTCTGAGCAAAGACATGGGGGTGTGGGTGTGTGCATTTATCAAGCCTGGAATGAGCAGATGATTCTGCAGATGCAAATCAACCTTGCCGGAAAACTCACTGGCTTTGGTAAGTGCCAAGATTTTTCCACTCCCACTCTGGTCAATGGAGATGACGTAGTCTTCCAAAACGTCATCATGTCCAGGCTCCACTGTGGCGACCCATCGTGCACGGACATGCTGGGCTGTCCTTGGCTGTCCTTTCGCCAAGAGCATACACAACAAAACGAAACCCGACTGAACCTGGAGAGATTTATTGAGAAGGCAAGCGTCGCTTTTGTGTCGGAACCATCAGATTGAGGATACGCCATGAGCCGTTCTTGCTCGTTCAACAATGCCTACTGAAGGTACATCTGCCTGAATGCGTTTATTTGAGGCTTCCACAGCCTGGGTGTTTGGAATATCTGATGTCGGCAAGCTCATATCAGGGAAAAAACGCACACAATCATTGTTGAATAAGATTTGCAACTGTTGTCCTACTCAAACGCAATCTGCTGATGGACCCTAGAGGCCCTAGCTGTCTGAAAACAAAACATTGCGACATGATGTGACGTGTCCGTTGGCTTTTTACATGGGCTCAGGGATGCACTCTGTGCGGCAAACGAGGCAAGCCAAGCCAAGCCAAGCCAACTCAACGTATGCAAGCGGAAGCGTGCAAGTATCTTCCTTTGCGCAATTGTAGGTGAAACTGGACTTGTGAAACTTCTGCACATGCACATGCAAAACCAGAAACTGTCCTCATATAATGCCTTCTGAAAAAAAACGAAACAATACAACTTGCAAGGTTATTTCGACTTTGCGCGCGACGAGCCGCTTGCTTTGCTGGCCGTCCTCGCACCGCGCCTGAGCTTACGGACTGTTTTGGCGGCATGTGTTGCCCAATCATCATGCTAGGAGCCTGGCTCTTCTTTGGATACTTTGCTTTCTTTTGCTTCCCGCGCTTCCTTCGAAGCCTTGCCTCCATGCACTTGCTGTGGCCTTGGACAAAGCTCAAGGCGTCAAAGCCTGAAGTTCACATCAGCCATCGCATTTGGACTACAGACAGCTTGGCATTGCTGGTCTGTGGCCGCTTTAGACTTTACACTCCTTCCAGGGATGTACAAGGGGTCCCGCAGCTACGGCTGCACCTGTCATGTGCAAGGCAAAACGTTCCTGACAAAGCAAGAAGCAAAACACATGACAATTCTTGTGGATGAAACCTGTCCGCGTTGCAAATCTGAGGAACGAACAAACGCGAAGAGATTGCTGACATCCACGAAGCAGCATGAGAGAGCCTGGGCCAAGAAAAACGTAGGTGAAACCACCGCGGCCACCTATTGGCAGCAGTAACAACAAATCCAACTGAAACCCTGCTGATGCTGCCAATGCATGCTAGCGCTACATCTCCAACTTCTACAACCAAAATGAGAGCGGCAGTCGAAGTGGCAACAAGAGCAAAATGAACCAGACATCTCCGTCCTTCATGCCACACGCACAGCAAGTCTTGTGAAACATATGCTGACATAGTCAACACGACTGAAGTTTTCATACGCATGGGCATTTTCAACACGCGGTGCAAAACCAACAGAAGAACCAACAAACTTTTGTACAATCCAAACCCAGTGGGTCCAAGCAAGTCCATGCACTAAGATGACTAAAACGAAGAAGCGCTTCGTTTGGACTGCATTTTCACTTCTTCAAGTGGCAGCCCGGTAGCAGAAAACATCTGGGTACTCTACACATGCAAATACCCGCATCCGGGCACGAATGTGCCCTTTCGAAATTACTGCACAAAATGGGGACCTAGCTATCCATACCACGTCCTTGAGGCTGGTGGTACTTGGGAATTTGACAGAACCTTGAGGAATTTCTAGGAAGAAGAGAGATTGGAGATTACTTGGTTACCTACCTGCCTTGAAGCACCCCCTTTTAAGGACATCATACTATCCCAAAAAATGTTGCTACAACATGGAGATGCAGATGTTCCGAAAGCATTCCATTACTTGACAGTTTTATCCCATGTGGTCAATTTCCCTCGGCTTGGAAAGCAAGGGTCACACACAAAAAACAAACGACCTAATCCGACAAAAGCAGAAAACTGAAAGGAGGCAGAACATGAAAAAAAACATACACAAGCACATCAATGCAATGGATTGTGCAATGCCATGCATTATGCCGTACACGACCTTGCAAAAATCTTATCACTAGGGATGCCTGAAGCTCGGTGTTGAAGGCTTTATGCAGTAGGAGTGGGGCCACTTGCTTCACGAGGAAGTCCGGGAATGGGCTCGGTGCAGAGGGTTCTTTTTTGGCGGCTGCTGCCCTGGCCAGCTGCCAGGAAAAGATTCCAATCCTAAACCAAATGTGAGAACGAAGCAAATCAAAACAAAATGAGACCTCTTACAGGCAGTTGTGAAAGTGCTCAAGGACAGCTAGGCAAACAGCGCAGCAAAAAATTGGGGGTGAACACCTTGGGATTGGGTACTGCTCAAGCATCCTCTAAAAATTCCCCAAAAAGCCTAAACCCTAAAGACCCTGCGCCGGCGCTGCATTTTGTGGGTTTGCCAACAAGTGTAGGCTTAAGTAACTTGAAGGCTGGGCCAATCAACTTGAAGTGCTTCTCCGACCATGTGACATCTGAGCCTGCTCTGCGCCTCTTCAGGGCCTTGTCTTTGTGTTTTTTTCTGGCCTTTTCTATGACTTTTCTGGTCCTTTTCGGGCTTCTGGTCGTTTTCTGGGCCCCGGGCCTCTCTTGGCCCTTGTCTTTGATTTTCCAGGGCTTTGGGGATCCTTAAAAGCTTTCTTTGGGCCCGTCTGTGCATTTTCTGGGTTTCTGAACCTCTTCTGTCTCTTCCGGGCCCCGAACCTCTTTTGTGCCTTTTCTGGGCTTCTGGGCCTTGTCTGCCCCGCGCTTTTTTTGTGCCTATTTTAAACTTCGGCCTGTTCTGGGCTCGTGGCACTCTTCGGAGGCTTCTTCTGGGCGCCGGGCCTCTCTTATGCTGTTTCAAGGCTTTTGAACCTATTCTTAGCCCCAGGCTTCTTATTGATTTTGTTGGGCATTTTCTGTTTGCTCTTCCGGGACTTTTCTGAGGCTTGTGGGTCTGTTTTAAGCTTCTGGGTTTGTTTTTTGCGCCTTTTCCGGGCCGCGCCTTTGAAAAATGAGAGGACTCGTTAAAATGGAAGATGCACTTTAAAGTGTGATCACTTTGCAAAATTGAAAAAGCATTTAGAAATCTGAGAACGTTCGTAGAAAGAAAAAATTGGATGTTTGGGCAACCCCCCCATTTCTGGGCCTCTTCTGCACCTTTGCTGCGCTCTGGGCCTCTTCTGCGCCTGTTCTTTGCTTGTTTGTTTTCCTGCCTCTTCCGAGCCGTGGACCTTTCCTGTGCCTTTCTAGGCTGCTGGGCCTTTTCTTTGCCCCGGGCCTGGGCTTGTGAACGCTTTCGGCTGGCGCCGGGCTTCTTCTGGGCTTTTTCTGGGCTTCTGGGCGTGTTCTACGCCTTTTCTGGGCCCTTCTCTTGAAAAGCACTTAAATTTACAAGTGCAATCACCTTGCAAAGTGGAAGAAACGTCTAAAAGTGTCAGAACGTTCGTTAGGTGCAAATGCGTGTAAAAGTTTAGAAACTAGGGCAAACCCCTTTAAGAGAGGGAGTTGTCTTGGGCGCCCAGAAGCCGTAAACCCTACACCCTAAACCCTCAAACGCCGGGAACCTTAAAAAACATAAACCGTGAGAGCCCCAAATCCTAAATTCCAAATCTCTTAACGCCCTAATCCCTCAACAGCCCTAAAGAACCAAACCCTAAGCCCACAGAAACAAGCCCCAAAAAACACACCTTCAAGACCCTGAACCAACATACCTGCACCCTAATAATCCTAATAACCCTAAACACTGAAAACCCCAAACACATTAAACCCCAAAACACCCTAAACCTTAAAAACCCTAAACCCTAAAAACCCTAAAGCACCTTAAACCCAGAAAAACACACTAAACCCGAAAGCGCCCTGAGTCCTAAGAACCCTAAACACCCTAAAAACTAAAACTTTGAACCCTAGGAGTGGTTTAGGGTTATAGGGTGAAGGGTGTTCAGGGTTTTTAAGGTTTAGGGGTTTTAGGGGTTTGAAGCTTTGAAGGCTTATCTTTAAAGGTTTAAGGTTTAAGGCTCAGGGCTTTCAGGGTTTAGCGCTCGTAGGGTGGGTGGGTGCGGACCAAGATGAGCTTGCAGCGGTCACAGGTTCCAGGCTTTGCACATGCGGTAGGGTGCAACACAAGATGCCGCGCCACTTTTCGCCTGCGAAGCTTTGGTCGTCGTGGTGAGCCACTCTGTGGCTCGCAATGCCTTCCTCATCGACGAGCTCGCACCAGTGGCGTGCTTGGGCACAGCACCCGCACAGGTTTCCTTGTGATCTCGTCACCGGCAGGCCAGCGGACTTGGCCACAGCCGCCAGGGCGGGGCCAGAGTCGGAGACGGACCTCACCTCAAAGAGATTCGCAATTACCAAAATGTAGCCAAACCCCGTGGTGCACCGGCACGAATCAAATACCGGCGGTGTGGGTTCTCTGGTGTATGTGCTACGGTGGAAGAATTCGGAGAACGCTCCACACGCCGGTGCTGCCACCCGCCCAAAACAGCGCGAGGGTTGTCGACCCCAAACCGAATTCGCAGGACGCTCCACGCGCCAGCGCGGCCACCCGCCGAAAACAGCGAGAAGGTCATCGATTCCCAAACAGAAGTCGCAGGAAGCTCCATGCACCAGCGCTGCCATGCGCCGCGCCCCAAAACAACGAGAGGGTCGTCGATTCCAAACAGAACTCGCAACACGCTCGCGCTGCCACGCGCCCAAAACAACGAAAAGGTTGTCGATTTGAGCAGATTTCGCGGGATGCTCCACGCGCCAGCGCTCCCACCCGCCCAAAACAGTGGGAAGGTCGTCGATTCCAAACAAAATTCGCAGGACGCTCTACGCGCCAGCGCTGCGATTCGCCCAAAACAGCGAGAGGGTCGTCGATTCCAAGCCGAATTCGTAACACGCTCCACACGCCAGCGCTGCCATGGAAAGGGTTCGCCGGCGAGGTTGAAAATGCGCACGGCGCCACAACGAGAGCGCTTCGACACGCACGATCCCCGCAGAGGGTTCGCACGGCACCACAGCGAGAGCGTTTCGACACGCACTATCCCCGCAAAGGGTCCTCGCGCGAGCTTCAAAAGTCGCATGGCGCCACAGCGAGAGCGCTTCG